CCAGCATGTGCTTTCAGATGGAGCGGCATTTACTACACAGAACCGTAGTTCACTGGCAAGCTACACAAAATCGCGTTCAAAATCTGCAATTTGTGGCTAGCCCCGCCCTAGCGCCGCCACTGGTGGCAAGTCACATCTCATCCATTTTAATAGGAGATTTGTCCTAACAAGTGGGAACTGTGACAAATGATGCATGACAAGACATTTAGTCAGTTTTCTTTTTCTTTTTTTTAACACATTGTGTTGAGTAGCCTTGCCCACCAGTGTTAATTTAGTTGACGAATAATTTTCATCATAATGTTCGTCAACGACATTTTTTTCACTGACAACAATGAGACGATAATGAACTAAAACTCTTTTTGAATGACAAAAATATATTGACATTTTCGTCAATGAGTAAAAACGAGACAAAAATTATAAGGAAGGGACGATTTGGGAAGAGATTCATTCAATTTCAGAACAAATCTGCTGCGTGGTTCGGAGGTTAGATGCATACATATGAACCGGTGGGACATAAGCTAAAATACACTTGCTGCACGTCGCATAAAACATTAAAAAATGTCAATATGTGGGAGTAAGAGAAGAGCAGACATATGGATAAATCTGACGACGCAAGAGAGAACTCAATTCGGTCCGGTTTTCTGAGCGCAGACACTGAAGCATACACACACAGAAAGTGCATCTCACAGTGCGCGAGTACTCTTTCGCTTTGCATGAACTGAGAATTACTCACAAAATGATGTCGAATTGTCCGTTTTGATGAGTATTCACGTAAACATTTGATTACGTCTTAAGTGAACGTAAACAGCAGGGAGAACGTGTATCAGTACATTGCATCCATTGCAGCTGTGCATTCGGTTTTAAAGGGACAGCAGCTTAATTTAGTTGCTATTGTCCGAGTCATTGATGTTAATCAAGCAACAACAGAAAGACAGAAAATCACTCACTGCTCTTGACTGAAAAACTTTCAGTAGCCCTAAAGATTAATCTAAATTTATTTATAGAAATAAATATGTCTGCTTGAAAGAATGAAGAATATGGTAAACAAGTTGCTATAAAGAATGCATAATTAGCCTATATAACCATTGGTATTTCATTAAAAAGAAGACCATGTTCTTGTTCTTTATGAGAAGTGGTTTAATTTAATTTTAACATAAAGGCATGTTGTGTGTCACCGCAGTTAAATCAGTGCCTATCATGATAAAACCTTAATATCAAACCTATATAATGAGTTTGGAAATTTTGGAGAAATGCTTAATAAATGCATTACACTGTAACTAAACCCATTAGATTTTAGCCAACTAAATTTACTGTAGATTTAGTCGACTAAAACTAAAAACAATTCAGGTGACTAAAATATGACTAAAACTAAATGGCATTTTAGTCAAAAGACTGTGACTAAAGCTAAATCAAAATTTGCTGTCAAAATTTACACTGCCAAACTAAAATGTTGTTTTAAAATCTTGAAATCTTGTCATGCTGCATCTAGTTAATATACAAAGTAAGGCTATAGGTTCATATTCCAGAAGAGCCAATTCAATTCAAAAAAATTGTTATCCCTAAAAGCATCTTCTAAATAAATAATCAGTTTAAAAGGTAATTTATAGTTGAAATATGAAATATTCTCTTAAATGCTGTTGAGAAAATCAATATATGCTTCTTTCTAGAAGTAGATTAGGCTTTAATAGTATCAAAAAGGCAATACAAAGAATCCAAGTACATGAAAGCCCTGTCATATCTATGTGGCAAATATTTCTGCTTGAATTCACTGACTTTGAAAACAGGTCATCTGATGTAACCTCATTTATGTGAAGATGGTTTGAGAGGGTGCAAAGCACTGCAGTTGCATACTCTTGCCCAGTGTTTCCCAACCGAGGGGCCGCGGGTGCTTATATGAGACTTTCTCGTGGTGTGACGCTCTGCGTAGTATCCCACTCTATATGTGTGCGCTCCACTCGTATACCGTTCATGCTCATCGGAACAGCAAAGTCCACTCAAAAATTGAGCCGACAGGAAGCATCGATGTAGTACAGTATTGTTTCTGTCTGCAATAGCACTACTGTGTTTTAACATGGTGTGGTATATGGGTAACTCTGGTAACGCTGCCCTCATTCATTGATCTGCTAACCGCTATGTTATGCTCACGTGTCCTCTGATAATAATAACTTTCTAGGACTAAACATTATTTGGATAATTGGTAAAAAAAAAAAAATATAGTTAAATATCTTAACCCTACTGTTAGACGGTCATATAAATTGGTCTCTTCATTAGAAATTAGCCTACTGATTGCTTATCTGTATGACATTATATTCTGCAGTTCTTTCCTGTTGTACCGAATATCTATACTTTTCAAATTATCACATCGAAGTTAGAAATTCAAATATTGTGACAAAATAAATTTTGTAGGGTGCCACAAGTTTGTTAAATTTTCCAAAGGGTGCCGCGACTAAAAAAAGGTTGGGAAACACTGCTCTAGCCAGTATTTTTCCGCTTTTCTCCTCCAGCAACACAATGGTCACAGCTCAGATCAGCTCCCCACTGACAGACAATGGCTTCAAAAGAGAAAATCAGCCTTGAGAGATGTGCCTTCAGTCAAAACTCAGCCGTTTACTCCCCAAGGATCCTCCTTTGTGTCACCCGCAAAATTATCTGTTGCTTACTGGAAAAAAGCATGTCTTGTCATCACTCATATTTCCAGGAATGGTCTAAAGTTCGGTTCTAAATCTTCCTGTTTTCAAAGATGGAGGTTGAAAATGGTGATCTGATCTGCAACTGTTGTAGTCGTCACATGCAACAGCAGGCGTTTCCCTGTACAACAGCAACAAAAAAGTTATTTTTGAAGTGCAATGTTTAAAACAACTTTTTTGACAAACAACCTCTACTTTTCTTTGTTGTTGCCAGGAGCTTTTTGGATGGGTAACAGCGATTCTTAAAACAATGGCACAAGATAAAGCTTTGAATTGATGAGCTATCATGATACTTGGCAGCTTCTATATAATAGAGCTAAACATTATCAATCTAATCTTTGGATATCTATGAGCAAGGATAAAACTCTTAGATACGTTCTGTAAGTCAGCTTAATTTATCTAGATGCTAAAAATTATCACAAGTTTGAAGTTGTTCCTAAATATTAAGGAATGGGATGCCATTTGATTGGTTAGTTCTTTCATCTCAAGGTCACTGTTAAGGGTGTTTGCCAAGGCAAGAATTGCTATTACTATCACTCATATTAGGGTTGGGGAATTGAATATAAACCCATTTGTGCTGCACACATGAATGATATCTCAGATCATGTGGCTTGTTGTGGTGTTGTTACGTTTTTAAAGAAGTGAGTTTATGATCAACTAGCAGGTGATAAAATGGACTTCGAAAATCCCATATACTTGATCTAGGGACAATAATAAGGAAATAATACTGTAAAAACAGTTAAAAAAGAAGGTTCTATTGAACCTTTAGACCAAAATAAAAAAATAATGATAAAAACAAACTTATTTTCCTTGTTTTTTTTATGCATCACATTCGATATATCAGGCTTTTCTGGTAACTGTTTTTGCATTTACAATTTTTGTTTTAGTTCTTTTCTGTTCATAATTAGGGATGGTACCGAAACCCGGTATTTAATCTGTCCCGGGGCTAAATTATGAAAGACCGGAGTATCGATATGCTCTGACGTTAACGGTTCTGCTATAAATTAAGAAAACACACATACATTTATTATTGCTATAGATACATTGAGAACTAAACATTCAAACGTCTGCTTACACTTTAGGCCTGTGGCTGTTTTATTAAGCTATTGTTATTTTTTATTTAGATTTTGGCTGCTAAGGATTATAGCCGCGTTTCTTCTAGCGCAACTTTTTTCCCTTCACAGCGGTGCGCATTCATTCCTCCCTAAAACCCAAACTTAAAAGTCAGAATCAGCGCAGTCGGTGATTGTTGAAAAAAGATCGTCCTGTATTGTTGCTAAATTGCGGGACATGCTTGATAATAAAACGTGGAAAGCACAATCCGCACAAGAGACACTGTTCCTCAGGCTGAAATGTGTGCGCGCGACGCGCTCCAAAACGGACAAGCTAATTACACTTTGAGCTTCGGGCATGTCCAAAAATTGAAATACACACAAAATGTAAAAATGGCCGGTTTGGAGAGTATTTACTTAAACACATTTTATGTCTTAAGTGAACGAGAACTGTTGGGAGAAAATCCGATGTGTGTCAATATATTGTCTCAACGTGACAGACTGGCGCTTGGGCCATCAGTTAATCAAACAACAAAATGCAAAGACAAAATCACTCACCGCTCTTAATCTGAATTACGTTATAGCTTTAATAAGTATTAATCTCTCAATACATACAGTGAAAACTGTAATTACTTAACTTACTTGTAATACTTAATTACTTGTAATTACTTACCTGAACAGTAATGTTACTAGACCTTCATGGAAAAATTAAAGCACTGTTTATAAACAAAAAGTACCGATAAGAATACCGTTAAAGTACCGAATCGATAAGCAGTATCGGTAAGAGTAGTAATACCGTTTAAATCTTAACGATACCCATCCCTATTCATAATGGAACCTTTTAATATTATTCCGTGGTAGTCAAAAACGGTCTCAATGTGAAAGGAAGCAGGTTATTAATAATGACATGCTTTTAATATACACGCACAAAATATATAAATATTGAAGGTTTTTAATAATAAAAATGACACGGCAATCTGCATATATAAAAAATGCAAGTAAGAATATCAGTGCCTGCTCTTACAAAATGTGTTTTAGTAAAATATTCCAATATTCAATTAAAATTTTTAATTAAATAAATAATTTAGCAAGCTGCATATATTAAAAAATGCATATAAATATAATTTCCTACTCATATTAAATATATCAGATATTTCCATTTTTAATTAATTTCATTTATGAATATGATTTTTATTATGTTTTGTATAACACATTATGAAATGCATTACAACAATTATGTATTTTTTTATTTATTTTTTAGGATGTTGTCCTTTTGGCAGACTTCACCATTAAAAAGTCTCCATCTTTTCTCAGAGACAAACTACATCCTTGTCAGCTAGAGATGGATGGCAAAGATGATTGTGTCTATGTGAGTGGCATCTGTTTGCTTTTTAAAATTCTTATATTTTAAAAAAGTCTTCTTGAACCTTTGCTGAAAACTATATTTCTTGCTCTAATATCTTTTTTTTCCCTAATATTTATTTTTGTTAATTTTTTTCCCATATGGATGTGTTTGATAGGTATGTCCCTCGGCCAAACCCTCCCATGGTCCTTCCAGTTCAGAGGTGCTGTATGCATTTCTTTAAGTGACAAATCTCTCCCACTTTGTCGTAAACCCATTTATGCAGTTTATCCCTCAGAGATCAAGGAGATTCTTTATCTAAATTGGCTTCTGTCTACTGGCTTTTGTCGACTTGTCTCTGTCTGGTTGTGTGATTGGTTGTTCCTTCACTCGAGTTCAACGTCCTTTTTAATTTGCAAACTTCTTTTAAATTTGTTTGAGCCAGATCAAGTGCTTCAACACTGCATGCCTCCAGACATATGCAGTCTAGACTAAATGAAGATGAAGTCAGGGAAACTAGCTCAGTGTTCATTTTAATGCATGCATTTAATTTTTTGACATTAAAACAATGTTTTCGCTTCAACACAATGCACTGCCATGGCTTTGTTAAGTAATGTCTGCAGAAAATTATGTTGCAATAAGGTATTGTTTGCCACAATTGCTGTCGTTAAAACTTAACTTGTGCTAAAGCCAGAATATTTGTTTAATGACAATATTCCTCTATTTCTTTGAAGGCCAAATACACTTATGTTCCCCTAAACAATTTAAAGCCCAAGACAGTGGTGAACGTCTATGGTGTGGTGACCTTCTTCAAACAGCCTTTCCCCTCTAAAGGTTCAGGTCAGTGAATTTCCTTCATCTCAGCAAGGCTGTAATAGGGTCTTCCATTGTTATTTGAGCCCTCTGGAGAGTGAGGCCAGAGAAAAGATGACTTTCTAAATGACTTTCAGGGCCACTTTCGAAATAGACGTCAAAACAAAGAAAAAAAACTCTAATGGATATCAGAGTAGTTGAACTTTTCTCTCAGAGTATGTCATACAGAGACTTCTTCGAGGCAAGTTTGTAAATTATTCTTTGCACTTTAGTGATCAAATAACATTTCAGAGGCAACCAAAACAAAACTGAGATCTTGGCTTGTGCTACTAACCGTGAACAATGAAGTTTGCTCTCTGCAGTGTTAGCATGAGATTATTTATACCATAAAGTCTTAGAATGCATCTGAAGAAAAGCTGACACAAACCAATTATTGCCAAAACACTCTCTCATGGTGCATAACCATACTAACTTCATGCAATTTTCTTCATGTAAATACACTTTACTTCATTGATCATTGCTTGGATCATGACATGTAACGTGTGATAAACTGCCAAAAATCGATCTCTGGCACACTCAATTGGTTTATTGAAATATTGAAATAGACAGAATGTAAACACCCCCGTTCCGTGTAATCGGTAGAGGGAATTGTGCATCATGTCCAAAAGGTAACCAATTGATCCTGGATCAATGGTCAGTGAGGCTGCAACTCCTATATATATTGACCTGTAGATATTCTCAGTCTTGAAGTGCTAAACATGTCTTAGGCAAAAGCAGAAAAAAATCATATAAATAATGTTATCAAAATTATCAAATTAAACAAAAATGCTAATTGTGGTAAGTTGTTTCCATTAGTTTCATGGGTTCAGAACACTGTAAGTGATTCTAAAAGGTTGATCCTTATGTTGAAGGTTGAAGTGTGGCTACTTCTGTCTTTTAGCAGTACATTAAGACATGTTTATATTCAGTCACTTTGCATAGTCACAAGCATATTACTCATGCTAGAGTTTTTTTTTTAGTCAGTACCTCATTATTTGTCACTAGATTACTGCTCTACACTAAAGATCACTGATCAGTCGGATGTTAAAGTGGGCTGCAACATCTTCTCTAAAAAACTGGAGGATCACCCAGTCATCTTCCGAGTGGGGGACATTATCCGACTTCACAGATTTAAGGTAAGGAGATTTGGCCTGTTTATTTGTTCCTTGGAATATTGAAAGTCGGCCCAAATCACGTATTTGCAGTAAAAGGATTAGTTCACTCCAGGATTAAAATTTCCTGATAATTTACTCAACCCCATGTCATCCAAGATGCTCATGTCTTTCTTTCTTTAGTCGAAAAAAATTAAGGTTTCTAAGGAAAATATTGCAGGATTTTTTTCTATATAGTGGACTTCCACGGGAACCAAGGGGTTGAAGGTCCAAATTGTAGTTTCAATGCAGCTTCAAAGGGCTCTACACGATCCCAGCTGAGGAATCTGCCTACGTCACACGTGACCTTTCCAATATGACTACGTAATGTGTGAAGAAAAAATCCTGGAATATTTTCCTCAAAAACCTTAATTTCTTTTCGACTGAAAGAGAAAGACATGAACATCTTGGATGGCATGGAGGTGAGTAAATTATCAGGACATTTTCATTGTGGAGTGAACTAATCCTTTAAGCAGTGAAGTCCAATTCTGTTTCTGGTTGGCCACCTTCTTGCAAAGTTTAGCCATAATTAAACACACCTGACCAGTAGAAACTTCTAGGCAGCTGTGTTGGAGCAAACTGGAGCCAAATATTGCAGGAATGTGGCCCTCTAGGAGCAAAAATGGACACACCTGACTAAAAATAATCAAGGAGTACCACCTGAAACATTCCCAGAAAACACACATACCTCGCCAAGATTTTCATGAAAGAGGCTCTGGAAAACCTGACGTTCTATGTTGAGCATCTTATTCATATAAAACATAAAAAGAGCAGATGTTGATTTGGATTGACAAATAGTGGTCATGCGATTCGCCTCCTGATGGGATTGGATACTGTAGTTGAGTAGGCAACAACGCTTGCGAGCAACAACACAGCAACTTGCCAACGTACAATGACTAAAGAGCTGTCAGTTTGAAGACACCTTACATTTTAAACATTGCAAACACATTGGTCAAATATAGTTCTAATGTTAAAATAAAGGTCTTGGCGACATGTATTAAGGTGATTTCTGTAGCGTCACCAATTTCAAGTCATTTTAACTTTAAGGCTCTAATTGGCTAATTGTTTCTCTTCCCATATCCTCCCAGACTGAAATGTTCAGGGACTCCATGTCACTCTTGAACACTTATGGTTGGTCTACAGTCACATTCGATGGAACAATTGACAGTCCTGTAGTCCCTCATACCTCCAGGAAATTATTTCACTTTGGAGAATCCGATATACGTACAGTGCAGGAGCTTCGCCAATGGGCTGCCAACCAGTCTTGGATATCAAATGACCTCACAGTCTCTCTGTCCTCGGTAAAGCCCGGGATGTACTTTGATTTGACCTGCCAGTTGCTGGCCAAGGCCGTCATGGATAGTCGTTGTATCCTACTAAAGGTGCTATTTTAACTTGAATCTGATTCTTAAAAATCATTGAATCTCAAATCCAGTTTGTACAACTAACGGTTACCCAATGTGATCAGGTGTGGGATGGGACCAAGTGTCAACATCCCTTATTGAACGTTGCAGTTGCATCTGATGCATTAGAAGGAGAATCCACTGTCGCTAAAGACAGGATGAACCTGACAGCCAACGTTCTGGTCTACGACAATCACCTGGAGGTGGCTCGAGACTTAAAGGTGAGTTTTGCCGTTGACCTTACAGTGGTTCCATATCAGAGGTGTCCAATCCTTCTTGTGGAGGGTCACACTCCTGCAAGAGTTTGGCTTCAACCTTAACTAAAGACACTTGAACTAACTAATCAATACTAGGCACTTCCAGAGCAGGTGTGTCGGCAGTAACCTTTGCAGAAGGGTTTTCAAAAAACAGGATTAGACGACAAAAATGGTTATGTCTGCCAATTGTTGGAAAACATTCTGTTTATAAATACAAATGTTATTAAGTTTCATTGGGAAACAACTTGGGTGCTCTTCCTGCAAGAAAGCCTGTCCTACAGAAACCATAATCTTATTTGATCAGCCTACAACCACCACCACGAGCGTCCTCTGTGTCACTGTTACTATTAATGCCTGTTAGAACAATCCAGCACAGGAGACCCACGCACCCACTCCAGCACCTTTAATGATGAATTAGGTGTCAGGTAGGACTCTTGTGGGCACATCTTCTCATGGCTTATTTGAGAGGCGTTCACTCCTCTTCAGTCTATTGATTGCATTTGCTGCTCTCACTTGAATACTGTCCTCCCCGTTTCCATTGCAAAAACCCATCAAAATGTCCTCTCCAATTGATTGTCTTATAATGACTTTTGAAATGTATAATCTCCAGAACTAGTGGCAACATTTCTGTCTTCTGCCGTCATCCTTTCTATGAATATTTAACCAGGAGCAGGGCTTTTATGCTACTTTTTGAAGCATCAGATTCTTTCTTTTCTTTTCTTTTTTTGTTAATGTATAGTTGTTCCCATGACAGTTGAGTAGCCAAAAATATATATTTTTTGACACCTTCAATACACGATTAAAAGTACAATGAGTCATTTTAATTATTGTGGAACTACAGTACATATTCGGTTCATTATTTCAATAGTTTGAAGAGGACGCTGATGTGTGAGTGTAAGTTTTTGTTTTAAGCAGTAAGCCGTTTTTGTTTGGCTCTCAGCATAATGGTTCTTTTGAATATGTACTGTTTGAATTATGAACAAAGGTGGGTGGAGTGAACCAAGTGTTCAAAAGAGGAAACGGCGAGTTGCTGACTATTCAAGTTCTTGAGTTTCTATGCAGCCATGTCCCCTACTGAATTCCTTCATTGTGTTTCTGTAATTAGGATACATATGAAATTGATCTAATTACTTCCTCTACTGTGAAGTTTCAGAGAATTGTGATCTTTAGTTAAAGATCTTGAGTTCTTCATATGGTTCCCCTGTATGTGTTGCCTCCCCTATGCTGTGTCAGTGCCAAACAACAGGCCTATCCATCACTTGCTGGCCATGATGTTGTTAAAGCATCTCTTCAGCCACAAACTATCAGTTAGATTGACAGAAAGAATGATATCCCAATACATCAGCTGCCCTTACCTACAGATAAAGAGACCGGTCTTTGCAGACAGTTGGCGGATTTGTGGTGAGATGTATTTATGCCTGTGCCATCTCGTATTTATAATTTCATCACGAACTAGAGCTTTGCACGGATGAATGTTATTTCATAGTGACATTATCTGAGAGAGTGCCAAGCTTTTGACACTGTTTGCATATCACTGCTTTTATAATGTAAATCTAGAGTTCATTTTACATTTTATTTGCTTTACATTAGAAGAGTAACATGCTTATATATTGCTTGCTGATATTATCCTCATTCAGCTCAGCATGAACTTTGGATATTTGGTTTCTAAGAGTTCTTAAATAAAATGTTGACTTTCACCTTTAACTCTTGGGGTCCTCCTTTGAATCCACACTTTGGTGGCATAATGCTGCATTGATTGATGGGTAGTAGTCTGCAGTCCGAGCTTGTATCAGTGCAGACCAAAGAGAGAGACACTATGGTCTCATGGACTTTATGGAAATGTGACAGCAAGTCCACATCAATAGCCATTTTTCCACTGTGTCGGGCCAGGGCTAACAACGAGCCGGGCGGGCCAAATAGCCTCGCATCTCAAGCCACGAGGCCAAAATCATGCTGCGTTTCCACTGTCGGACCTACTCTAAACTCGCCCTTAAATGGGTAGTTTACCCTCAAATGAACATTACCAAATGATTTACTCATCCTCAAGCCATCCTAGGTGTATATGACTTCTTCTTTCAGGTGAATACAATCGGAGTTGTATAAAAAATGTCCAGGCTCTTCCTAATGCTTCCTAATGGCAGTGAATGGCTGTTGAGATTTTGAAGTCCAATAAAGTGCATAAATCCATCATAAAAAAAGTACTCCACACAGTTAATAAAGGCCTTCTGAAGCAAATCGATGCATTTTAGTAAGAAAAATATCCATATTTAAAACTTTATAAGCTGTAATCTCTAGCTTCTGTAAATGTCGTACATGTGTACATGAGAGAGTGATGTTCCAGTGGATGATGTAGGATGTAGGCGAATGCGGTGAAGGACACGGAAATGCAGTGGAGAGAGCAAAACAAAACAAAGTGATACTAAATCAAACCGATATTTATAATTTCATATAAAGAGAACACATACTTGTTTAGTCGTAGCTGTTTCATTTATTTGTGATGACAGGAATACACAAAACAGCTCCATTGGTGCTTTTACGTCCAAATGCGTACACGTATAACACAGTAGAAAATGACTGATAAACCCTCATATGTTTGTGTGAAGGACACGGAAATGCAGTGGAGAGAGCAAAACAAAACAAAGTGATACTAAATCAAACCGATATTTATAATTTCATATAAAGAGAACACATACTTGTTTAGTCGTAGCTGTTTCATTTATTTGTGATGACAGGAATACACAACAACAGATTTCTTTTGAATGAATGAGCATTTATATTCATTTTCCACAATGTATGGAATGTATGGGGGGAGGGGGATATATATGCAAATTCATTCTCTGCCAGCAAGAGGCGCTTTTAGAGTGAGTGAGATAGAGATTTCCCCGGTAATGCTTTACACAAATCAGCGCTCCGCTCACAAACGCTGCTTTATCAGGCATTACAGGAAAGATGAAATGAAAATGACATTGAACATTTTCTGAAGACAGTCGGTTTCCTTCAGAAATACAGTGATATCAAATTTTTTGAAATGTGCAGTGCTTATGTTTATTCAACGAAGTCAAAGCCTTTTGGGAAACCTATTTGTGGCGGTCAGTTTTGATATTGTGGCGGCCCACCACAAATAAATCAATGTATGGGAAACACTGTAGCCTTTAGCGTCACGTATAATACATTTCTGCCTCATACCCTTAACTTTAAAACAGCTTATTTGGGCCAAAAAAATTAATAAAAATACCCTGTCTGTTGGCCCCGAGGAAGTCCCAACGAGGCCTGATCAAGTCCCGGAAGTGACAGTGGAAACGCGACTGTCCCTGGCATGCATTTTGCATTAGCAAGTTCGCTTTTGGCCCGACAGTGGAAAAGTGGCTAATGAGTTGTTTTGCATAGTGCCTATATGACTACAAAAAATGGTGTCATCATGGAGCGGCACCATATTACGTCTGTCTTTGCTCTTTGGGTGCTTCGCTTGAGAGCACAATGACTACACAGTTCAGCCCTTATGGGGTTTAAAAGCCCATTCACACCACACGACAAACACAGACCAACTCCGACGGTCACCAGATTACATTATATCTCACCTAGACATTCCAAGACCCGACAAACACCGATTCAACATGTTCAATAAATGCCGACCCACTGGCAGTAGATGCCAACAGGGATAACACACTGATCCGACAAAACCAGACAAATTTGTCTGTTGCCGTTTGTCTGTGTCTGTCGGTGCGGCGTGAATTGGCTAGTGTGAATGTGCAACATTTGCCAGACTAGATCTTTACCCAGTAGATCACCCCTTGTCTAACAGAGCCAGACTTTGGACACTTGGCCTCCACTTTGCAGTTTATTCTTGCAAGGAACCGCTGGTTTAGACATGTCTGAACAAGATGCAAAGCATCCAACAGGTTGTTTGGAAATTGAGAGACAGTGCATTAGTAGGGTGTTCAATAATCAAATTATCAGTAAAATGCACTGATAACAAAAAAAGTTTAAGGAAATTGCTGTTTTTATATGGTAGCGTAATACCCAGTGATCAGAAATGCAATTTATCCACTAAAGATTGCATTGAGTCAGAATATTTCCCCACCATTATCAATATCCTGGGCCGTATCGTCTCTAATATTGTGTGAAATTGCTTGAGCTCAGATTTTGAAGTCCAATAAAGTGCATAAATCCATCATAAAAAAAGTACTCCACACAGTTAATAAAGGCCTTCTGAAGCAAATCGATGCATTTTAGTAAGAAAAATATCCATATTTAAAACTTTATAAGCTGTAATCTCTAGCTTCTGTAAATGTCGTACATGTGTACATGAGAGAGTGATGTTCCAGTGGATGATGTAGGATGTAGGCGAATGCGGTGAAGGACACGGAAATGCAGTGGAGAGAGCAAAACAAAACAAAGTGATACTAAATCAAACCGATATTTATAATTTCATATAAAGAGAACACATACTTGTTTAGTCGTAGCTGTTTCATTTATTTGTGATGACAGGAATACACAACAACAGATTTCTTTTGAATGAATGAGCATTTATATTCATTTTCCACAATGTATGGAATGTATGGGGGGAGGGGGATATATATGCAAATTCATTCTCTGCCAGCAAGAGGCGCTTTTAGAGTGAGTGAGATAGAGATTTCCCCGGTAATGCTTTACACAAATCAGCGCTCCGCTCACAAACGCTGCTTTATCAGGCATTACAGGCAAGATGAAATGAAAATGACATTGAACATTTTCTGAAGACAGTCGGTTTCCTTCAGAAATACAGTGATATCAAATTTTTTGAAATGTGCAGTGCTTATGTTTATTCAACGAAGTCAAAGCCTTTTGGGAAACCTATTTGTGGCGGTCAGTTTTGATATTGTGGCGGCCCACCACAAATAAATCAATGTATGGGAAACACTGTAGCCTTTAGCGTCACGTATAATACATTTCTGCCTCATACCCTTAACTTTAAAACAGCTTAT